AAAAAAAAAATGCCACTGCTCCCAAGACCGGATGGCACATAAAACCTTGGCAGATTCAGTTAGTGTCTAGGTATACAATGTTGCCCTCGTCGTCCTTACAGTTTCAAAAGTTACCCCATACAAATTCTCCTCCCTTCTAAAAAGAAACCTTGATACATTAGTTACAAAATCATTTGCAAGAAAAAAGTTTTGGAAAATCAAAACACTTAGCAGTTGAACAGCGGCTGAGACTGAGCAGCAGCAAAGTCACCTCAAAATCCATACATTTGTCTTTGTGTTTACATAAGGACAGGATGAGAAGGACCTCACTGGACAGCTCTTGTGGTAGGGACCCCAGGATGTAGCTGACTGAGGTACAGCTGAACCACCCGGTATCTCCTGAACTTCTCTAAGAGGTAGGTCAACCATCCTGTACAGCATCCGGCTGCAGGCCTCCAATTGTTGTGCAGGTAGAATCAGAACCAAGGGCAGAGATTGGCAAGCATGGCGGCCTTGGAAAGAGTTTCTTTAGCAAAAAGGAAATTTTCAGCGTGGTGTAAGGAGTTTATAGGAGAAATGCAAAGGGTAGAAGATGGCAGGTGTCCCCGGGGCCAGGCAGTAGGGGTCTGGCACAGACAGCAGAGTGAGCCTTCAGGGAGACAACTGGGGGGTTCTAGGGGGGGTTCTCTCTGGAGAGATTAAGGCTAGTAGAAAAGCAGGTCTGGCCTGACAACCATAGAAAATAAAGTGTTTGCTACATCGGTAACAGAGTGGCCACAGATAATATGTGAGCGTAAGGTGAGCTGGCCAGCTGTGGAATGTCAGCTTCACAGGAGACGAGACCCTCAAGCGGTTCTCCACCTTCGGGGTACACAGCTGAATGTTCTGACCTTCCTGCTTCCAGTCTCTGGCACTATAGAACCTGAGGGTGCCGACCCATCCTGTGTCGATAATCTTGTCCTGGCCCAAGGGAGACTTGGTCACAGAGCTGCGCAGTGTCACTCTCCTTTCGGTCCCAGGTTTCTATCCCTTTTCCTAGTGTGCTGCTCCCTCTCTCCTGACTCTCCCACCATGCGCCCTCCCTGGGCTGCCACCCCTTCCTCTTTCTTTCTCTCTCTTTCCTCCCATCTCCTCCTCATTCCCTCTTTGACACCCCCCCCCATCTCCCTCTCCCAACATGCTCAGGAGTTCCCTGTCCATTCTATAAATCCTCCCAATGTACAAGCTAAAAATACTAGCCATTTCCCCGGACTCTCACAAGACTGAACTCTGCTACTCAGACACGTCTGCCCCAGACTTGGAGTCAGGGCCATAGAACCAGGGCCAGGAGGCTCTCTCTTTAGCTGAAATGCCAGTTCCGAGACTGAATCCTGGAGCAGCAATGGCCATGCTGCTTCTTGAAATATCAGCAGAATCCAGAGCTAACAGGATGCCAGGGGCATATCTAATACCCAGAGAGTGGTGGTTTCTGTTGGTATCTTCTCAGAGCTCCTATTTTCAGCTCTTCCAGAGATGTCAGAATCCACCTATATGTTTAAACAGGTTGCTTTTCTCCAAAAATTAGCAGAGCAAGTTTCTCTGATGAGAAACTATGTGCTTTGTTTATGGACTGGCTGGGCTGACTCCTTCCTTCTCTCTGGTAGGCTTCCTGCTTCTTGAGCAGCTTCCCTCCTCCTCCTCTTGTCCAAACTCTGGATTCCCATTATTTTCTCACCTCAGTCATCACACCCTCTCTGTACAAGGGGTCACATGCTGTGATTACCCCTGTACACCATGGC